AGCCCCGAGTTTTAATGGAAAGTATTTTTAGGTATAAACTGAGCTGCTTTTACAATTAAATTGAGTGAAAATGACCCAGCTAGCACTATTGAAAATAAGCTGTCTCTTTTGACCTAAACGGCCAGAAAGCACAGGACTGTTTAAAAGGAAAAATAGGGTCTCGGATGTGGAAGCAAAACACTTGCAAAATGGCCCGCAGGAAGCTGCTCAAGGTGGTTACTGAAGGGTCCCGGGCCGGCACAGCCTCCCAGCCGCAGGCAGACAACGCCCACCGGCAGGGGAGAGCTGCTCACTGAGCTTGCTTTGCAGCCCCCCACCCCCCATTCCTCCTTTTATCAGAGGAACGATCCCCATTGGACACTCGGGTGGCATTGCCTTCTGCATGGGGCTGGCGCAGGCACCTGTGGACGGCAAGTGAGAAGTGGGCCGCGGGTGGCAGAGCGTGGCGTGCACCCATGAGCTGCCCATGCCCGGCCTGGGCTCCCGCCTCCAGGGGGGGCAAGCACTGCCCATTTCTCTGCGTTTCCTGCTGAAGCAGTTAAAATTATTAACTTGAAAACATCTCAACCACTGACGCAGCCACGTCCACGTTGGGTGTGACGGAGCGGAAGGAGTGCAGTGCACCGGGGGCTCAGGCTCACGGCTGCAGCTGCACGCTGGCCCCCGCACAGCCTCGGCGACGCGCCTCCACCCCAGGACAGTTTGTCAGAGCGGAGGCGGACACGGCCGTGTTCCCTCTTGTCTGGCTGCTGTTCTCACCAGCACCTTCTTCCTTGAAAGAACAGCTGACGCACGGTGGTTATTCACACGTAGGTGTCTGGCAGATATTTTCTCAAAAATGAACAAAGCAAGCCTCTTACTTCCCATTGTTATTTGTTGCTAAGGGTAAAATTTGAGCTTTTAAGGAAAAAAAAAATCAGAATTTTGGAAAACTTCTATCTGCCTCCAGCTTCTGAATACTCCATGACTTTTTATATGAGATGAAGGGTGATATTAAGAAATGTGACTCAATGAAAGGTGTCAAGCTTTAGAAGTCCTGCATAATTCTACCAACAATGTCTTCCAAATGACCCAGGACCCTAGTACAAAGTCACCCACTGCAAGCTCAAGCTGGACCACTCAGTTTTAATGTAATAGGGCATGAAAGTTGACTGGCATTGTTTCAGGCTGCACATTAGGGTGTGCTTCTGGGAGCCACGGCTTGAGGAGTTTCGGTGCAATAGCAGGAGAATGGCCTCAGTTCCTCCAATTGTACTACTCCAATTGTTCTCCCTTCCCAACTATGGAGTGAGTGAGGCAAACTTCCTTCTTACTTGTGACCGAAACAACAGGTCACACACACTAAACGCAGCAGGCACTGGCCCTAAAGAGATTTGCAGAAATGCAATACAATGCCACTCTCCTTGCTAATTGTTTTCCACTTTGGAAAATATAGTTATTTTATAGCATTTATGTTAATTGCATGTCTAAAATGGGTTTATATTATTTTCATTTCTTAAAAATCTTTACAGATGCCCCCTTTTTATCCTCCCACCCTGTTCTCACCCCACCCCAAGCCTTCATCACCCTACTGTCTCTGTCTATAGGTAATGCACATATGCACGAAAGATCTTTGATCAGTCTCTTCCCACCACCCTTCCCTCTGAGACTTGTCAGTCTGTTCCATGTTTCCACGCTTCTGATTCTACTTTATTCATCTGTTTCTTCTGTTCATTAGATTTCTTGTTCACTTATTTTGATTTTTAGATTTAATTATTGATAGATATGTATTTACTGCCATTTTATTGTTCATATTTTTTATTTCTTTATACTTCTTCCTCTTCTTAAAGAATATTCTTCAACATTTCATGTAATACTGGTTTGGGGGTGATGAACTCCTCTAGCTTTTTCTTGTCTGTGAAGCTCTTTATCTGACCTTCAATTCTAAAAGATAGCTTTGCTGGGTAGAATAATCTTGGTTGTAGGTCTTTGCTATTCATCACTTTGAATATTGCTTGCCACTCCCTTCTGGCCTGCATAGTTTCTGTTGAGAAATTAACTGTCAGTTGTATGGACACGCCCTTGTAGGTAACTAACTGCTTTTTTCTTGATGTTTTTAAGATTCTCTCTTTGTCTTTAACCCTTGGAATTTTAATTATAATGTGTCTTAGTGTGCACCTCTTTGGATTTAAATGAATTAGTAAGCATATCTTTAAAATTTCCCTGTTTTAATTAATTGCAGGGGAAATATCAACAGACATCACCCTTATATGCAAAACTTCTTTGGATCCATAGTTTTTAAGGATGCAAGAGGTCCTGAGACTAACATCTTTGCCACCTGCTAGCTCGGGCTGATCTTGATTTGTCTTTGAAACCTTTGGAAATGGAGCTGTGCTTGTTCCTGCTAAATGGGGAGCCGGTGCCACCAGCAAAATGACTAATTCACAGGAAGCCGCTTCTCACTCTGACTCTCCAACAAGCTGATATCAAAAAGCAGCCTCTGGTCCCAGGAGAAACAACCCACAATTCTCCCAACCAGCACTCAGCTGCCTCCGAGCAAGGGTGGGAAGGAGGGGGCGGCCGGCACCAGGGAACTAGAGAGGTTCATTGTCTGGGGAGAACTTAAGGGCAGCTGAGTTCTATAATAAACTGACTAAAAGTCAGTGGTAAATTCTTCCTCCCCCCCAAAAAACCTGTAGCTGGTAAAAGTGAGTCCTAATCATCTAAATAAAAGCTTCAAATTGCCTATTTTAATTACTTATCCTTTTAGAAGCATTATTCTAATGGATGGTAATAGCTGCCGGCTGCACAGCTGGCCTGCACTCAGCCTGTGCCGCACCTCCCATCTCAGGACCATTCCCAACGGTCAGAATGGAGCGGGCTGGCTTCCATGTCACAGTGTCCATGGTGTCTGCAGTGCCACATGCTCCTGCCCTCTAACATGGACTCAAAGTCAACTCAAAGGTGCCATGAGCTCACACTCCTCACCTCTCTCAATCTAGGTGAATGCACGGAGTTGTGTTTGAAACGTTCTGACTCCACGGACATTTGAAAGCTGCTGGAAGCAATCTCAAAGGATAGAACACACGGACAGGAGAGCGATTTCTGAAGTTTCTTGGGAAATAGAGTGTTTAGCAGACTTCATCAAGAGATTCTTATGCTACAGACTGTTCCTGAGTATTTGTGTGTATTGCTCCATGTAATAGAAACTCCTCAAAATGAAAATGAATAGTGTTTTCATGGGCCATGAGTGAAGATAGACTGACAAGTCTGGTGCCTTTGTCTATCTAGTGATGGTAAAAACGTGAAGATCTTTTCTGATTAAGTCACTAACAGATCTGCCTGAGAACAAAACTACAGCATACATCTCCTAACACAATCAACATGGAAGCATACATTTCTTCCTATTAAAAGAAGTATGCCCTGGCTGGCAGCTCTGTTGGTTGGAGTGTCATCCCAATACCCCAAGGTCAGGGGTTTGATCTTCAGCCAGGGCACATACAAGAAGCAACGAATGAATGCATAAGTAAGTGAACAACCAATGGATGTCTGTCTCTGTCTCTGTCTCTCTCTCTCTCTCTCTCTCTCTCTCTCACACACACACACACACACACACACACACACAAATACATAAAAAAGAAAATTTTAAAAAATACAAATTACATTTATTCTATTTAAAAATGTTAATCATTACTGTTTTCTTCATTTGTACTGTAATATTTATTTTAAGAGTTTTTACAAGCTCTTAAATGAAAATATGTATGGAATTCAATAAAGGAGAATTTGCTATTGGTTAATTCACTATTGGTGTGTGCTTTTTAAAACCCTTGCTATAATTAGTTTCATTTCCTGATTAGTCCTGAAAGTAATTTTGTTGTTTGAAGAAGGATGAATGTAATAAATCAAACATGAAATCAAACAAACAGATCACCCACGGTAGGAAACAAATCACTAGCAGGCTAGAAGTACAAAAACCAGTAGCACAATGCCTACCCTAAATAGCAACTGACAATGGGGCTCAATGTCTGAGAGGCAGCAGGGAGCGGTGGGGCTTGTGGCAAACGGCAGGTGTAGGCTCTCTCAGCCACTACTGGGCTGCGGCAGAACGCCACCAGGGGGGATGCAGGACAGGCATGGCCAGACCCTCTGAGTTTACAAAAAGTCAGAAATCCAGTCTTTGGGGAGAATTCTTCCTGTTTTTAAAAGTTGGTAACTAATTCAAATGTTAAACAACATGTGGGCCAACAGGACACATCGGTAAGCCACACAGGCAGCCAATTTTCAGTGTCTGCTCTGTATGAGCTCACTTGTCCTCTCCCTTCTAAAGCCTTCTCTCGGGGATGGTTGATTCTCCTCCTTTCAGACCTCCTCCTGAATAAACCTCACATTTCTGCTCTGTCTGAGTCCCTCCCAGTCGTTCTCCCTTAGAGCTCAGCCCAGGCCTGGCGCAGAGTGTGGGGTGAGCTGATGAAGGTGCCCGGCTGGGTGTGGAAGAGGGCAGGGGCACAGACTGACATCTCATGTGCATCCATCCCCGAGACAGCCAACTGCAAAGGTCATCCACAGACGTGACTGCTGAGACCTCAGCCTCGTAGCCACACCAGCGGGCTTGCCCCTGGGCCCGCATCCCCTGGCTGCACCTAGTGGCCTGCTCTCTGCGTGGTCTATACAGACCACCCTGAGCATTCAGTCCCTGGAAACCCGCTCATTCATCTTCACACAGAACAGAGACGCCTGATGCCTTGCACGCTGCCTCCCCAGTTCCCCCGGCCCCCCTTTCATCGCTTCTGCAGCTTGCTTCTGGATCCTATCCAGACTTTCTGTTTCCAGATCCCTGTTAGCAGTGGGGCACGTAACTACCCTCTCAGAAGGGGGACTGAGCCCACTGTCTCCCTTCCCGAGCCCAGCTCCCCAGAGGTGCGCCCAACAGCACGCTCCTGGCCATCGTCCACTGACTCATGAGAACCGTGCACCCCCTGGTCCCCACATCTGGGACCGCCTGAGTGCAGCCAACACCTCACCTTCCCTTTGATGCTGAGGCCCCCGGTGTCATAGACGATCCCTTTGCCCACCCATGCAATGGTCTGGGTGGCTCCATCGGGGGTGTGGCTGAGGATGGCCAGAGCTGGGGGGTGGAGGGCGGCTTTGCCAACACCATAGATTCCTACGGGAAGCACAGGGAGGGGCAGTCAGGCTCAGGGTGAATGGAGCAGAGAGACCCAACAGACCCTCCTCTCCCCCCCTTCAAACATCAGTCCCCTGACAGGAAGTATCCTCAGGCTTTGGGGTATTGCTCCTGGAGAGCTGTGCAGTCCAAGCTGAGCTCCCTGCCCCCTTTTCTGCCCCTGGCCAGTGGGGGATGAGGAATGCAAATTAGTTCCAAAGCTCTGGACTGCAAACAAATTCTATGTGTAGCATTGTTAGGCAAGAAAACCCGCTGAGAAAAAAATATTGTATCGTTCCCAGAAAGAAATGAACAGGATTGCAGAATGAAATGATTTTTGGACAATGCTTCAAGGTTGCTCCAACCCACGCTTGCTCTCCCTTCCCTGAACCCTCCGTGCACTCAGCACACTGCACCACCCTTTCCGAGCTCACTCCAACTGCTGCCTCACTGTTCAGTTCATGCCCCACCGTGCCGCCGTGGGCACAGTCCATGCCTCGGGTGCCCAAGGAACAGAACTGAAGGATCATAGCAACCAGGACAAGAGCCAATAATGGCTGCTGACAAACTCCTGCTCGCCCTGCAAGACCCACTGCAAGGACCCTCCTCTGTGAGCTTTCCCCTACAGGAGTGGCCCCCGCCTCCACTTGTCATCGGCACCTCTAAGGTGACCTTCTCCCTAAGTGTGGGCGAGATCCTGCGACGCACTCCTGCTTGGAGGTGGTGCCGAGACAAGGAGATGAGGTTACAGGGAGACCTTGCTCTGAGGGAAGAAGCTACAGCTTTGTGAGCCACTGGAGAAGAGGCCCTCGTGGAAAGGAGCGTGAGTCCGAGGCCTGCTGGCAGAGCCATGAGTGTGCCTTGCTGGGAGCACAACCCCAGCTCCGGTCAAGCTTTCAAATGACAGCCGCCCCACTGCACATCGTGGTGGCAGCTTGGGAGACCCTGGCCCGATTCCCTACCCACAGAGCTGTGAGGTCTTGCAGCATCCCTTTATGCACTGCCTCCTGGGTAATCTGTTCTGGGGCCACAGAGAACAAACACAGGGACCCTCCTCCAGCACCGTGTCCTAGGTCATCACAGTACCACCGGGGTCAGGAGCGGAGGCAGATGGGCCTAGCAGTCAGGGACGTCTCTCTGAGGGGGGCTTTGAGCTGAGGTGAGCAGGGGAGGGCAGTCCTGCCTGAGGACCTCGGGAAAACATATCCTGGACACAGAAATCTGTAGCACAGGCCCTGGTGTGGATGTGACTGCATGTATTCGAGGAACAGAAAGGCCCTGATGAGTTGGCCCACGCACCAGGCCAGTAACACGTGAGGAGGTTGGAGAGGGAGCAGGCGGGGGAGGACTTGGACCCTACAGCTTCCAGGATCTGAATCAGAACCTGAACCGCTGCCTCCTTTCTCCCCAGTGACAGTCTGCTTCCCAGGCTCTGGTCTTGGGGTTGGACACGGGCCCGTTTCTTTCAGGACGAAGCCTGGGATGACACACCACGTGCCCATTGCCACTCTGCCAGCCAAGGGCCCCGGAGCACTCCCCGATGCCCAGTCCCGCACGGACCAGCCCCAACCCACCTCCAAACCCTCTGGTCTTCAGCTCCTCATCCCGGATGATGGTTGGGGCGATCCCTAGATCTTTTCCAACTTTCTTAATCTCCTGGATGTGTTCATGGAAAAAACAACAACACAAGACACGTGAAGACAGCTTAACTCAAGGCGAGGCCGGGGCTCGGGGCCAAGGCCTAGCTGATGGCTGCACAGTGGGGGAGGAACCAGGCCTGGACGCCAGCGGCTCTGAGGCTCTTGCTTTGAGTGTGATTAAACCCAGGAGAGAAGGCTGGCCCTCCAACTCTGCAATTTCCTGCAGCTCATGGCTGGAGTTTTGCAGAGGGGCCTTCGAAAGAGGCTCTCCCCTTCCCGCCCTTGGCCTCGGCTAAGGCTGCTGGCCCTGAGAGCTGGGTGGACAGTAGGTCTTTGTCCGCAGCAGCCCCAGGCTTCCCCAGGCAGAATGCAGAGACTGTGAACACTGTCCCTCTCTGGCCTCCAGCTTTCCTGTGACCCTCCCCGGGGTCTACCGCCATCCAACCCATCCTGATCCAACCCCTGGCCGTCAGGGCCACGCACCTCAAGGAAGGTGTCTGTGTTCATCTCATTGCAGGGTGTGTCCACAATGCGGGCTGCCAGCCGTACGCCCTCCGTGGCATTTGTCAGGCACTAGGAAAAGACAGAAGCTGTCACTGGGCTGCGAGACCAGATAGAAGGGGCTGTCCCTCCTTCCCCTGGTGACTGAAAGGTGTCAGAGGCACTCGTCACCTGGGGGAGGTTGCGGGGCTGCTGACAAAACGGCAAGGGGAAGGTGGAGGGGGAAGCGAGAGTCAAGCTGCCTGCTCTCACTCCCCAGCTCCTGACCACCCAGCGATCTACAGAGTGCCAGTGACCCTTCGGCCCGGCTGGCATCCGACCGGGTCTGCAAGTCCTGGGCATCCCCACCTGTGGCCTCTGCCATCCCCACCTCCTCTCTCAGGGGAGGTGCTACCCTTCATTAAGAGCCTGACTAAGCTCCTCAGACAGACGTTGAAGCCTCAACCCCCACTAGGTATCAGGAGGCCTCTGGGAGGTCAACGGGGGTGGGGCCCCTGGATGGGATTAGTGTCCCTACAAGCACGCTCTCTGCCCTGTAAGGCACAGCAAGGAGGGCCAGGGAGGGAGCTCTCAGCAGAACTCACCCTGACCTCCGACTTCCAGCTCCAGAACGGAGAGATAGATGTCTGCCTCGTCTGTGGCATTTCCTCATGGCAGCCTGAGCTGCCCAATACACCCCCCTTCTCTTCTCGTGAAGACCCCAGCCATCCCAAGGCACTGCTCAGAGGTCACGCCCCCAGAAGCTCCTCTGGATCTTTCCAGAGTAAAAGCACTCCCTGCTGGCCCTCAGGGAGGCATTTTTCTGACGTGAGCCCCTTGTGAGTGTGTTGTAGACCTGAGCCCACCCTTGTTTTCCTGGTCACCTGATGCCATTCTGCTCTAAGACGAGGGAAGAAACAGGCAGACCTGCCTTGTGCAGCCCATCCCCCACCCAGCACCCCAGGCCGGCCACCACAGGGACTTCAGGCAGGGGAACACCGTGTGTACAGACCAGAAACTAGCTGCCCCAGCCCCACCCCCACAACCAGCCTTTCTGCTGAGAACCCCCCTCTCGCTTTTGCTTCTGCCCTGACCTGCAAGTTTTCTGCTTTCTCTCATTTGTCTCTGCCCCAGTCCATCCCCCCAGCCACCCCCAAGCTTCAGACAGGCAGCGATATTAAAAGAGAAAAGCTGTGCAGGTCTGGCGGGGGCGCAGACAGCAGCATGTTCATCTGTGCCTCGTCTGGCCCCACGGGGTCAGGAGGGCAGACTCCGGACAGCGCCAGCCGGCCACCTCCCAGGCCCCAACCAATTGCTGCGCGAGCTCTGCCTGCTCCGAGGTAATTAAACCCCAAAGCCTAAAAGGCAGAGCTACAGGACTTGACAGCTCCGATATGAGATGTGCCTGCGGGGTCCCGGTGACTGTCAGCGGGCTCTCCCCAGGGGAGGCCCAGGTCCCCACCTGTGGGCGTCACACACACAAATCCATTGCTCATCTCTGACGCAGCCGCCCGCTGCTGGGAAGTGCGTCAATGCCCCAGACTGGTCTCGAAGGAGGCCAGCGGCCGCCTCGCAGACCCGGTGAGCAAGCTCTCCCACGCAGCTGACGCGGGCCAGGGGCAGAGAGCACGCAGAGCCAGGCGGACCTGGAAGGAGCTTGTGCCTCATCACCTCAGCTTCCTCGCCACACACTCAGGATCATTCATCCCATCCATGTTTACTGGAGCACCTACTGGGTGCCACACTGGTCTTAGCATCCAAAGATGTGCAAGAGACTCCAGTCCTGCAGAGACCTGAGTCCAGCAGAGACCACAACATGCCCTTCCGTTCTAGGCCAGTGAGCCGGAGGAGACCAGGAAGCGGAGGGGGCTGAGGCCCCCCGTGAGGAAAGGCCAGGGGGGCTAGCAGCACCTCCTGGGCTCACAACTCCAGACAGACGGACGGCGGCGGCAGTGAAAGACTGACTCCAGCCCTCGCCCGAGGGGCCCCGGAAAGTCACCTCCTGTTTCTGAGCCTCAGTGTGCTCCGCTCCATAATGGCAATCACAACAGGGCCCGCCTCACGGGCTGTTGTGAAAACTCAGTGATTGCACCGGTGAGAGTGCACACCGCGGCTCAGCACAGGGCCCGGTTCCTGACAAGCACTGGGAAGACATGGTGCTCGTGTGTAAGGCGGTGGGGAGGGCCCGGGGGCAGCAGGGCCAGGTCCTGACCACTGCAGCCGTCCAGGAGAGCAGGAGGGGCGGCTGGGGCGCCCAGAGGCACCGGGCAGTTGAGCCAAGTCCTGAGAAAATCATGTGTCAGATCAGGCCCCTGCCCTCCAGGAGCTCTGGGCTGACAGTGACAGCCTTCCTGAGAGAGAAGGGGAGATGGGGAGAGGACGGCGCAGGTGTGGTTGCTGGAACCGGACTGGAGGTGGGGAGGGCAATGGCACATGGGTGGGATCTGAGATGGTCACACTACAGAGGAGGGAAGCTGACACTCCACCCACCTAAGGCCTTGCCTAGTTCCCAAAGGGTCGTCCTGAGGTTCCGGGGAGATAACACGTGGGAAAGCATGCCCTAGAGGGGTATGTGACATGTATGTGCACAGGATGACTAGCATTCCAACATGAGAGAGCCTGGCACTGCTTAGGTGCTCAGCAGACACCTGACCGGCTGAACAATACCACGTCCTAAAAACAAAGGGCACCAAGGGAGCGAGCGGGAGGCGCAGCGGTTAGGAAAGGCCTCTGGGGCCTCCTTAGGAATAACAGCGGCCCCACCACCCTCCCCACGAGGGAGAGGCGCTTGTTCCCCAGACCCCCCCTCCCCGCGGCCAGACACCCACTTGCAGTGTGGGCACTTCCAGCGGCCCGTTGTCCTGTCCCACCAGGAAGAACTCCACCGTGACGGTCCTCTTCTCGGTGCGTCTGGCGGCGCCGGAGCGGAGGGTGAAGAGCGGGAAGGCGCGGGCCAGGGCGCAGGCGGAGGCGAAGGCGTCGGCCCGCTCGCACACCATCTGCGCAGAGGAGAGCTGTGAGGGGCGGCGGGCAGGACACGGCCCGGGGGGCTGCCCTCAGGCCCGGAGGCCACCCCACCGTGTGGACACGGGAGGCCTCCCCGGACCCAGGCCTAACCGCCCAGCCTAGACCCGAGTCTGGATCTGGGTCTCATGGGCCTACACGCGGTTCTGGGGCCCGAGCGTCCCCGAGCGCTGGAATCGGGTGGCAGTGCCCGCAGGCCGGGCCACTCACCACGATGCAGCGGTGCGTCCCGGGGGGCAGGCAGGTCCGCGCGAGCCGGGTGACGAAGTGCGCGGCCGAGGGGCTGTTGTGGCGGCTCACACGCGAGGGCAGCGCGGCCACGGCGGCGCAGTTGAGGTAGAGGGGGCAGCTGTCCGTGGGGTTGGGGTTGAGCGTGCCCAGCGCAGCCTGCCACAGCTGTGGGAGGAGAGGAGGTAGGCGGCCAGGCGAGGTCAGACCCCCCCAGGCAAAGTCAGACCCCTCCCACCCACTCCCAGATGAGGTCAGACCACCCCTCCCCAGGCGAGATCAGACCCCTCCCACTCACCCCCCCAAGTGAGGTCAGACCCCTCCCACCCACCCACATGTGAGGTCAGACGCCCCCCCCCCCAGGCGAGGTCAGACCCCTCCCACCCACCCCCCAAGGTGAGGTCAGACCCCTCCTACCCACCCCCCCAGGCGAGGTCAGACCCCTCCCACCCACTCCCAGATGAGGTCAGACCACCCCTCCCCAGGCGAGGTCAGACCCCTCCCACTCACCCCCCCAGGCGAGGTCAGACCCCTCCCACCCATCCACATGTGAGGTCAGACCCCCCCCAGGCGAGGTCAGACCCCCCAGTGAGGTCAGACCGGGCCAGGGGGCCGGCGTGGCCGGGCGGAGTGTGGCTGGTGTGTGCTCACAGTGCACCTGCGGCCTGGCAGGGCGGCCCGGGCCGGTGTGAGTGGGCTGGGCGGTGTGGGCTGCTTTACTGGGACGCGGGGAACCAGGCTGGGCCCGCAGGTGCCCCTGCAAGCGGGGCGAGTGGGCCCGCCGCGGGCCTGGAGGGAGGCCGTGCCCTCGAGGAGGCCCGGGCGGGCGCCGGTCCCGTCGAGGCGGCGCTGGGCCCGAGGCCGGCCTGGCGCGGCGCCGGCGGGCGCGGGGCGGCGGGCGGGGCGGGCAGGCCGGGCGGCCCCGCGCCCTCAGCGGCGGCGCGGCCCGCTCACCTCCTCGGTGACCCGGGGCTGCAGCTTCCCGCGGACGTGGCTCCAGGGCACGCGGAGCAGGTGGGGCAGCTGGCCCAGCAGCAGCAGCGGCCGGCTCTGCGGGTCCGCGTCCCCCGCGCTCGCCAGGAACTGCAGCCCCACGTTCGCCATCTTCGCCGCCCGCCCGCGGCCCCGCCGCCCCGCTCCCTCCGGCCCGGCCCGGCGCCGCCCCGGCCTCCCCGCCGGCCCCGCCTCCCGCCGCCCGGCCGCTCGCGAGACGTGCAGGGCGCGGTCGGGCGCGAGGGGGCGCGCGGGGCGGAGGGCCGGCGCGGGCCCCGGGGCCCGGGCCCCAACCCCGAGCAGGCCCCGAGCGCCAGGCCCGGCTCCCAGCAGGCCCAGGCCCGCAGGCCCGGGCAGGCCGCCCTCCAGCCGGAAGCACCGCGCGGACGGCGAGGGCCTGGCCGCAGCCGCAGGGGCGCAGGCCTGGCCCCTGACCTCCAGGAGGGCCTGGGCGGACTCCGGCGCCGCCGCAGCCGCCCCGCGGCGCCCAGCGTCCTTGGACATGAGCCCCGAGCAGGCCCGGGACCCAGGCAGGCAGGCTGGCCTAACCACACCGCCTGGCCCCGGTGGGACTCAGAGTGATTTCTGGACCCGTGCCAGCGCCAAGTTGTTAAAGCCCCTGCCTGGCACTGTGAGGTGTCTCCTTCCTCACTGAATGGGTTCCTCCATGATGCTCAGGCCCTTGCTCTGGGGTGGCCACTTATAAATCCAGGTTACTGCCTTGTTTAGTGCGGGACCCTTCCCCTCCACCCCCCACCTGTTGGCAACAGCCTGGTCAAGCCACAGGCTCATCCAATTTGGGGGGAGAGGAGGGTATAAGAGAAGGGGAAGTTAGCGGTTTATAAGACAGCACCGGAGTTATCGGTCATTGAAGAGGGGTGGTGCCTGAAGGGTGTTGGGGGCCCCTTGTGGATGGTGCAAGATGTTGGTGAGGGTCCTGGCTCCTGCTGTGGCTCAGATCCAAGATTTGGGGATTGATGGCCCAGTTGTGGAAGCTGTACCCAAGTCACTTAAAAATAAAAACGTTTCCCACCCATCCTGCCCACGGCCCAATAGCCAAAGGCCTTTTGGTTGGCACCCCTCTTCTTACTGTTTCCTTTTCAAGATCAGCCTTTGAAATAGCAAAGCCGACTCCCTAGTGTGGCACCCAAGGCGCTCAGAGCGCCCCTCTCCTGCCTCCCTCTTCCTCACCTGCAATCCAACCACAGCCACACTTTCACTTCCCTGCTGCTCCCTCCCTGCTCCTTGGAAGCACCCCACTAGCCTGGAGCTTCAGCATTCTGCAGGCGGGTCTTTTTGTCTGCTTTCTTCTCCAGCTCCGGGCACAGAACAGGTGCTCAAAACAGTTTTTGAATGGCGCAATGAATTCCTTCGAAACCCTCAGCTTTCCGATATAAAAGTCAGTGCTAATTGGATCTTATTTTCTTCAAAAGATTTTGCAGCAGCTGAATGTTTTCACACATTTGTAAAGGGTATGAAGAGCACGTATGAAGATCTATCACTCTTTTCTTGTTTGCAAACACATTGCAGACAAGTGCAGGGCTTTCTAGCAGGGGCGAGGCCACAGGGGACCGTCCCAGGGGGGAGGGAGGGAGGCTGCGGCTGGTGGATGAAATGGGACTCTCACAGGCAAAGAAGGCGAAGGCATCTCAATGGGGAGAGGCTGGCGAGAAAGTGCAGACCCGAGAAAGTGCAGACCCCGGTGTTCCGGGAGACACGGGAGAACAGAGAAGGGAAGAATGGGTGATGGCGGTGGGGTGGGGAGTCTGAAAAACTCCATCTACTTTTGCAAACTGTGGATGGATCCAAGAAGTGTTTCAGAAAGCCAGATGCTGGTGCTCTGTGTGCAGGGAGCTGGAAAGGAAAGGAACTGTCGGCGATGAGATGATTTTGGAGGTTCTTTCCTTTTAGATGGCCCCAAGACAGGACGAACAAGATGATTCAATGCAACCATGTTTATTGAACACTTATTCCACACAAAGCAAGGAAAAAAAAATGGGATGTGCTTGTTGGAAGCAGACATTACTGATTCTGGTTTTAAGCCACACCTGAATCAAAGAAACCCAAACTAAACAGAACATTAAGGAATTATTCCACTTCAAATGCCTGACATTTCCTCAAATGCAGCCCGTGACAGACACAAATACCTCCCTGGAAAGGACACTTTCCACTGCACTTTCCAGACTTCGGACTGAGACAGGCGCACTTTGTTCAGATGTATTTTTATGAAGCTGTTAATCCACAGGTTGGAATATATTTCACCATCAATGAAAAACTCACCTTAATTACATTTTCTTTTAAAAATGCAAATGCAAAGTAACTTACCAGATCTTTAATGCAATCCGAGAAGTAACTTAGGTGTTTAGTGACTTGAGACTCCTTCCAAACTCAAGTGGGTGTTCAGACTTACTTTAGGAATTGAGGAAAAGGCTAAAAACTTCTGGAAGAAATCAGAATAAAGGGCCCAGGACTTATTAGGAAGTTTTGGGATACAGTTCATATTCTAGACACATTTCTGAATGATATCGTGTGAGATGGCTCTGGGTGTGTGAGTGTACACGCCTGTGTTCACCGCATGCTGGAGCTTACCTGCACTAAACCCACTAATCCCTGCTCAGACCCAACCCACAGCCACAAAGCTCCAGATTCCATCACCCCTCATGTGATGAAGGAAACACTGACCACCCACCAACCATGAGAGCACTTGTTTTATCTTTCTTGTGTTTTGATTTATTCATTCAATATAGATTTGTTGAATATCAATTCTGAAGAGCTCCAGGCTGGGTCAGACTTTGGGGATATAGTGGGGGAGGGGTGTGGTTGTGTGTGTGTGTGTGTGTGTGTGTGTGCGCGCGCGCGTGCGCACATGCTCGCGTGCACACACACAGGCATGTGGCAAGGGAGGGGAGCAAATACAGCAGTGAAGCTCAGGAATCCAGACCCTGGGAGCCGAGTCTTGAGGATATTGGAGTTGGGTCCTGAGGGTGAGGTGTGTGCCAGGCAGGCTGATCCCAGACAAGGAAATCCTTCAGCAAGGCCCAAAGTACTAAAGGGTGCGGTCCAGTCCAGAACCATCAAAAGCTCTAGTGATATGGGCTGGGTGTGGGATGTACTCCAAGCCAAGGAGTTTGGACTTGACCTTGTGGGTAACTGCAAGCCAGGGGCAATGCCTCAGCCAGGACTGGTGTGAAGCAGAGGTGGGGCTCGTGCCTGGGAGAGAAAGGAGGAAGCCGAAGAAGGGCTCAGCACCAGCCACCCGCATCCATGGCATTCTGGGAGCAGCCGGCCTAGAAGGCAGCCCACCTGCCATATCTCCGCCTTCCCTCACCTGCCCCCGCGGCCTGCACGCCAGGGAATGCCTTGGTCACACTGTCAATACTGTCAGATGTGGCCCCGGCCGGGTAGCTCAGTTGGCTGGAGAGAAGTCCCGTACACCAAAAGGTGGAAGGTTTGATCCTTGGTTGAGAGGCAACCGGTCAATGTTTCTCTCTCTCAAATCAATTTTAAGAAATTGTCAGATATGCCACCTGAAGATCTGCACTCAGGGTTCCCCAAAGGATTGAAAAGTGAACTAATCACCATGAAAATAACATGAAACTCTTGAAAAATGCATTAATTTATGTAAAAGTTGAGAAGCTGGTATAAATTATACTCGTTTTTTTTTTCTGCACCATTTAAATTATTTGCATACACTTAATCCTCAGTGCATCTTTCTTAGGAACAGGGACCCCTCCCCCCACCCCGAGTCACAATAACATCCTGATCATATATCCATGACAATTTGTCATTGAAGCAATGCTACTACAAAAAAAAAAAAAAAAAAAAAAAGGCATTGCAATTTTTTGAGTTATCCCAAAAATGTCCTTCATGGTCTTTTCTCTTAAAATCGGAATCCAGATAAGAATCGGGCATCCCACCTGGTTGTCCCCTTGAATGCAGAACTGCCCCTGCCTTCTCTCCTAGAGGTCCCACAGTCTGGACTCTCCAGGTTGTTTCCTTATGTGAGATCCCATGTGAACGTTTTTTTGGCAACAATACATATTGTTTCCCATGGCATCCAATCAGAAGCCACGTAACCCATGCAAGCTCCCCTAACTGGCCAAGGCTGGTTGCTTGGTTTCCACTGGTTCACATGGTGAAGATGTAAACCATTCTTCGTAATGAGTAGAACTAGGGTCAGTTTCCTCCTTCCAATGTGTAGTTTGAAGCTGAGAACAATAGGATGTTCTGTGTCCCGTGGCCTTTCCCCCCTCCTCCCCTGGCTTTTTTGTGCAAAGGCAGTGTCTGTCTGAATCAAGCATCAGCTGCACCAACTCCTCCTTCCACACACAGCACCTGCTGTTTTTTTTAAATTTATTTTTAAATCCTTACCTCACAATATGGAGGATATTTTTTCCATTGATTTTTAGAGAGTGGAAGGAAGGGGGTGAGGGACAGAGAGTGAGAGAGAAACATTGCTGTGAGAGAGACACATCCATTGGCTGTCTCTAACACGTGCCCCAACTAGCTGGGGACCAAACCTGCAATCCAAAACTTGCAATCCAGGTATGTGCCCTTGACTGGGAATTGAACCCAAGACCCTCTGGTGTGCAGGCCAATGCTCTAACCACTGGGGAATACTGGCCAGGTATCCACCATTCTTGTGTACAGACCTCTTTACCTCCCCTCTCCCCAAGACTGCAGTGAGGCTCAGTGCAGAGCTGAAGGTGCAGAACCTGTTCCTCAACAAAGGATTCCAAGATGGCGACAGCAGAGCACTGAGCCAGAAGTGGGTCCCGTGTGAGTGCGAAGGCTGCGTGCTCGGGAGCTGCCCTGTCCCCCTGGCTTGTGTGTATCTTCCAGTATCATGGTCCCCTGTTCCACCACGGAGGCTGCTGAGCCCACCAGACCGGCTCCTTGCCTTTTTCAAACAATCCTATCTGTTTTTGAGCGCTTCTGTCCTTTCTCAGCTCACTGTGTTCCTCCCTTGCCCAACTCCAGACTCAGCCATTCCTTCAATAAATCTGTCCCATGAATCAGAACAATGGGTGTCTAGAAACCCAGGTTTGTGTGGGAGGTAAGCTCACTGCTCCCCAGTCATTGTTTACGATCCTTTCAGAGGCCAGAAGTAAGATTGGTTTTCTTAATCTCATGAGGCCACAATTCCTTCAATTCAAACCCCACGCTGCCCCACCGGATCTGTCTCCATCTCCCACCGTGAGAACCTGGTCCCAGCCTCCCTTCTAGGGACACTCACTCGCCCTTTCCTACAACACTCAGCAGACAGCCTCCATCCCTGGCAAAAGACTTAACCCCTGAAGTTCAAGATTTCTCTACTATCTTGTTCTGTTCTCAGAATGCATCCCACTGATTGCGTCAGAATTTATTGGTTTTCTGTGTGGTCTATCTGGTGTACATCTAATTCCAGCACTCTTGTCTGTATTCAATGTAAGGCTTTGCTGTGCTCATTTCTCTTCCATTTCCATTTTTTGAATACATAAAACATTTCTATGGTTGAAACTGCAAAAAGGAAAGCTCTTGGGAACCTCCTGGGCCTCCCACCCTATCCTCCTCACTCATCCTTCCACAGGAAAGCATTCTTATTAGTTTTTTGTTTATCTTCTCTGGGTTTTATCTTTTTCTTTTTTTTAAAAAATACCGGGTCATATATATTCATGTATCTGACACAAAAGATAGCTCATTGCATGCAATCTTTTGCACCTTCCCTCAAAAGCACATTTTGCAATGTCATCTAAAGCTTGGTGTTCTTACCTTCCAATATCAGTGGGGTTAGACACGGTGTTAATAAAAATGTACTCGGGGAGCCATTTCTTAATGACGGAAAGCATTCCTTCTCACATCAGTTTCTAGGATGTTCCGATAGAACGAGGGGGCTGAACAACTTGTTCTTGGAGGTCCTTTGTCATGCTAGCAGTCTACATTATTCTCCCGGCAAGGGCACGGTGTCAGGTGGCAATAACCCTCTGTCTCAGGCACTGAATTCCTATTTACTTCTGCACACCAGCAAAATTATGTTTTTGCAGTTGCAAAGTTTTCAAGGGCATAAGACTTGAGGGGGCGGTGCTACAGGGAGGCAGAGAGAAATCATTAACAGACCGCATGCTGGCTCCACATTCCTGGAAACAGCCAGCGTATGAAATGGAGATGTATAGAAAAGCAAGGCGAAGGGCAAATGTGTATTTTGATGGAGAATTCTTTTCTTTAGAAAACCTTCCCTTGCAGGGCCCTTTGAGCAGGATGTTTCTCTAGAGCACTGAACATGATTCACTCTTCAGAACCCTGAGTCACACTTTTCCCAGAAACACCTTGTGTCAAACAACACCTCTATCTGTAGTGTCTAAATGCGGATCTTTTTAAAAAGTAGAAGGGCTTGGTGGCTGGGCAGTGTGAGAAAAGGGTGGGGGAGGAAAAATGAACCAGGTTTGTTCATTTTTCTAAGGGCCATGAAAAGGAAATTAAACTTTCCTCTCACTAAATCTGAAGGTTCCATCTTTTGGGCTGGTTCAGAGTCACTGATGAGAAGCACTGAAGAGGGGCAACCTCACTTCTATCACAATGCAGGTTCAAATGCCAGACTGCAAAGACCACTTATCCCTTCTTGATGATTTATGAAACTGGAGGGACATTCTAACCCAATTTAGCAAAATAAGAAGGACATTCCAATCAGGGTAATGTCATGGTTCTAAGATCTTAGAAAATTCAGCAATACTTACACATTTCTATGAGAACCAGAAAAATACATTTTGAAGTCTTCTTCTTAACATGCTGGGAACACAGTATAAAGCCCTATTTTAAAGACACGACTTGTTATATTATGGACTTGGCAGCCCATAAAACCTAGTGTATGCACCACGAGTTCCCCTCTTTTGTTTTTCTTTAAGTAAGTGGTTACACTCCATTTCCCAATACTCTGGGGCGGTAGAAAAGGGAAGATGGGAGGTGGGTGGGGGAGAGTGGTTTGCTGGGACCAGAACTCTCCAGAGTGGGCTGCAGAAGCTGGAGGGGACGGAGCGATGGGGATGGCAACGACCCGGAGACATACCAGGTCAGGACTCACGGCCTGCGGGCGTGCCCGCATCGTGGCGAGGACCTCCGCAGCCCCTGTTGTGCAAAACACAGGATGTGTGCCTGCGTGGAGCACGGCGGAAGTGCTGAAGTTCTGTATATATTTAATAATTAGCATGAACTGAAGGTACTGTCATTGTTTAACTCGGCCGACCTTTTAAATGGATAACCAACCTTGAGGCTTAATTGGATTTAAAAAAATCAATTTCTAGCCATAGCACGGTGTGGGAACGAAGTGCTACATTTTCGGGCAACTGTTAAATCGGTTTTGCTGGAGACTATGTTTTTATTATTTATGTTAAAATGACACGATCCATCTTGGTAGGCGTTTTGTGCATAACATATACTTTTTTGAAACAGCCACAAATGCCCACA